AGCTAGTGGCTCCACAATCATCAAAGACAGAGCTCCCTCCATTTTATTGATTCTCCATCCTCATGGTCGTCATAGTCCAAGACAGCTACTTGAGCTCTGGTTATCACCTCCACGCTCCAGATAGCAAGAAGAATAAGAGTAAGGATGTACCTCTTCTCCTTCCATCCCATTAGCCAGAACTTACTCACACGGCTTCACCTAGAGTGATCTGTGGGATTTCTGAGTGGAGCGGTCCATGAGTAGTGGTCCACATGTCTGGGGCTCTGGGGAGAGGACTTAGTTGGAGATTCATCAACATAGAGGTGGCAGCTTAGGTCATGGGTGGATTCCCCAAGAAGAGTGTGCACAGTGAGAACAGAACTCCAGTGACGCCTGGAAGCAACAATGGGCAGAGGAGGTGAAATCCACCATGGAGAGAAATAAGGCGAGCACGGCATCAAGGAGAAAATTTTTCAGTCAATAGTGTTCAGTGGTAAAAGTCAGGCTACTTAGGAGTGATGTCATGGAAAATGGCAGACCAGGGGCTCCAAGAATCAGCACCTCCACTTAAGCAACATTAAGCTGATAAAATCTGACAGAATCAGCTTTTCTGGAACTCTGGAATCTCATAAAAAAAAAAACTTAGAGCAACCAGGGGAGTGACTCATGAAGAAAGAGGCTGTTATTTCAGTAAGGAATTGTTGCAGCATTTTTGCTTACCCACCCACCATCTCCCATTCCCCAGCCCAGCAGCAGCCAGGGGGACAACAGCCTGAATCCCTGCTGTGGCTTGCTGATGCCAAGGTGGGCAGTACAGACCCTGTTCTCAAAAATGTGGCTGTACATTTTGGCCCAGTTGGCAGTTCTGTGAGGGTGCAGAGGCTGACATTTGCTTCACCCCCCTCAGACTGGAGCAGCTTCCCAGGTGGCGTCTTTTGAAAGGATTTAAAGACATACAGTACCCACAGTTGTCTGGGGCAAGGGGCTGCAGATGGGGTTAAGCAGCAGACAAACCAAAAAGCCTGGAAAGGGGAAGGCTGAGGAGGAAGATACTGGAAGAATAAGGGCTCTGAAGGGCTACTTCCTATATCAGGAAATCCAGACTACAACACACATGTCCAGGGCCAGACACATGCTCAGAAAAGACCTGAGAGGACCCTAGGCTTGCACTTTTGGCTAATCTTCCATGCAAGCAGGAAACAAAGACTAAGGCAGAGTTGCAGGTGGCCTGGTTAAGTGCAGCAGGAGAGCCCAGCTCAGGGCCAATCTACAAAGACCAGGAGAGGTTTCTTCTAATTTGGGGTGGGGTGGGGGTGAACTCCAGGTATTTAAGGAAATCTGTGTCAAGTCAGTGGCTGACCAATGAGATAATGGAACAGAGACCTCAGTGACTACACATGATTGGAATACAGTCTGCACGTGGAAGCAACCTAAATGTGCATCGACAGAGGAATGGATAAAGAAGATGTGGTACATATATACAATGGAATATTACTCAGCCACAAAAAAGAATGAAATAATGCCATTTGCAGCAACATGGATGGACCTAGAGATTGTCATACTAAGTGAAGTCAGTCAGACAGAAAGACAAATATCATATGATATCACTGATATGTGGAATTTTAAAAGATGATACAAATGAGCTTATTTACAAAACAGAAACAGACTCACAGACTTCGAAAACAAACTTATGGTTACCAAAGGGGAAAGGGGATAAATTAGGAGTTTGAGATGAACAGATACACACTACTATATATAAAATAGATGATCAACAAGAACCTACTGTATAGCACAGGGAACTATACTCAATATTCTTTAATAACCTATATGGGAAAAGAGTGGATATATGTATAACTGAATCAATTTGCTGTACACCTGAAACTAACACAACATTGTAAATCAACTATACCCCAATATAAAATAAAAATTAAATTAAAAAAGGGAATACAGTCTTCAAAAATAGTTTGGAAATGTCACTAAACAAATGGATGATTGTAACCCTTAACAAGCAATAACGGCAAACCTTGCCAAGGGGTACAGAATCTGATTTCCAGAGCTGCCACAATATTCAAATTGTCTAGTTGTCAACAAAAAATTACAAGGCATACAAAGAAAAAGTATGACTCATTCACAGGAAAAAGAATTTGGCAGAAACCATCTCTGAGGAAGCCCAGAAATTGGACTTGCTAAGACAAAGACTTTAAATGAAATGTCTTAAATATGCTCAAATAGCTCAAGGAAACTGTGGACATAGAACTAAAGGAAACCAGAGAACAATCCATGTATAAACGAATAGAAGATATCAACAAAGAGACAGAAATTATAAAAAGGAACCAAACAGAAATAATTCTGGAGATGAAAGTACAATAACTAAAATGAAAAATTAGAAAAGCTCCATAAAATTGACAAACTTTTAGCTAGGCTGATAAAAAAGAGAAAAGGTATAATTAAATAATTAAAATCAGAATGACAGTGGGGACATCATGACCCTTGAAGAAAAACAAAGAATTATAAGGGCATACTATGAACAATTATACACCAACAAATTAGATAATCTACAGAAAATGGACAAATTCCTAGAAACACACAAGTTACCAAAGCTGACTCAAGAAGAAACAGGAAATCTGAACAAACCTATAAAAAGTAAAGGGATTGAATCAGTAGTAAGAGATCGAATCAGTGATCAAAAATCTCTTCAAAGGCAGGATCAGATGGCTTCTCTGGGTGAATTCTACAAAACCTTTAAAGAAGAATTAACACCAATCCTTCTCAAACTCTACCAGAAAATGGAAGAGGGAATACTTCCTAAACTCATTTTACGAGTCTTTATGCTCCACATTAGGGGCTGAAATTCAACCTCTCAATAAAGTACAATACTGAAAGTTCCCAAAACAATGACAAACCTGGCTGGGCAGTCCTTTCTTGGGAATTCTGCAGAGATGACTCATACATCAGTTAGAGTTGAGTTTGTGACCCTGAAGGATCTTTACATTTTAAAGAACCTATTATTTAATCATTGTTTCTGTTACTTGTAATTCATTTCTCTAATTTATCAAAGGTTATTATTTGGATCATTATTTTGTCTGTCAAAATGCGGACCTGCCCCATTTCCATCTTGGGTTTATTTTCATTTAAATAGCTCTTTTTAAAATTTGTTTTTTCCCATTTATCTATAGCTCAATGATTTTTGACAAGGGGGCCAAGACCATTCACAGGGGGAAAGAACAGTCTCTGCAACAAATGGTGCTGGGACAACTGGATAACCACATGCCAAAGAATGAACCTGGACCCGGACCTCACACCATATAAAATAATTAACTCAAAACGTATCAACAATCTAAATGTAAGTGCTAAAACCATAACACTCTTAGAAGAAAACGTAGAGGTAAATCTTCATGACTTTAGATTTGACAATAGATTCTTGACTATGACACCAAATGCACAAGCAATAAAAGAAAAACTTGATAAACTGGACTTCATCAAAATTAAAGCCATGGATGCACTAAAGGATATTATCAGAAAGTGAAAAGACAACCTACAAAATGGGAGAAAATATTTGCAAGTCACATATCTGATTGGGTCTGATATCCAGAATATATAAAGAACCACTTACAACAACAAAAAGATAACCCAATTAGAAATGGGCAAAGGACTTGAGTAGATATTTCTCTGAAGATATACAAATGGTCAACAAGCACAGGAAAGACACTCAACATCACTAGTTAACAGGGAGATCCAAACCAAAACCTTCATACCCATTAGGAAGGCAATAAATAATAATTTTAAAATTTAATGTTAAATAACAAGTGATGGAGAATGTGGAGAAATTGGAACCCTCTGTTTATTGTTGGTAGGAGTGTAAATGATTCAGGCTCATGAAAAACAGTTTGATGGTTCCTCAAAAAGTTAAAAATAGAATTTCCATATGATCTAGCAATTCAACTCCTAGGTATGTACCCCAAAGAACTGAAAACAGGTATTCAGACAAATATTTGTACACACATGTCTACAGCAGTGCTACTGACAATAGCCAAAAGGTGGAAACAGCACAAAGGCCCATCAGTGGATGAACAGATAAACAAATTGTGGTTTATACATGCAAGGAATATTATTCAGCCATAAAAAGGAATGAAGTGCTGATACATGCCACAATGTGGATGAACCTTGAAAACATTTATTATAAGTGAAAGAAGCCAGCTACAAAAGGTCACATATTGTTATAATTCCATTTATATGAAATATCCAAAATAGGTAAATAGGTTGCCAGGGACTGAGGGGAGAAGGAGATGTGAAGAAACGTTTAAATGGGTAGGAGGTTTTGTTTTGGAGTGATGGAAATGTTTCAGAATTAGACAGAGGTGGCTGGGATTGCACCATACCGTGAATGTACTAAAGGCCATTGAATTGCACACTTTAAAACGGTCAATTTTATGTTGTGTGAATTTCACCTTTTTAAAATATGAAGCCACTCAGAAATATCAGATTATTGACAACGCACCCCTTGGACTCCAAATCCTGGAAACAACGTTCCAGGTCAATTCTCAGGTCACGGGTAGCAATTTCATCCCTGTTCAATTTTATCTGGTAGTTTTGAAGGCCTAGAATACAGACCAGGAAAACTCTCAAGATGTTAGCTCACCCCAGGCCACTAGAGCTCCCTTATTGTGAGTAAATACCGGGGGTGGGGTGGGGGGGTTGGAATGCGGGGACCTAAAACTACAAGACAGGAGACTGTCCACGAAGCAAATGCGCTACTGCCCTATGGTGCTGCCGCCAAGGCCTTCTTACATTACAGGCCCAGCCTCCACTCACTCTAAGGTCAGTGCTCAGTCCAACGTCAGGTCCATTCCGGGGTCCCTGCGGCGAATAGGCGTAAGCCAGGCCTCTCTCGCGCCCCTTGCCTTTCCAGGGCCGCGGCTCCGGTTGGGGCCCCGACGTGGACCGGGGAGCGTAGCGTCGCCTACGGGGCGGGGGCGGGGCGGGGGCGGGGCGGGGGCGGGGTCTGCGCCGGCGCCGGGTCCGGCGGGCGCTCTGCCAGCTGCGTAAACAATGCCGGAGGACCGCTGCGGAGCAGGTGAGCGGGCTGGAACGCGCGCGCGGGTCGCGGCCCGGTCGCCCGCGGCTCGAAGGACACGGGGTGGAGCCGCAACCCGCGAGCCGGGCCCTGCCCTCCGCACGCCGTTCGCGGCGGTGGGTCGCGGCCCCTTGGAGGGTTCCGGGGCTGCGGCTCCAGCGGCCGGGGAGGGGAGGGCGCCGGGACAGCGGCGGGGCCGGCCCGGAACTGGGGAGTGGAAGGAGCGCGGGGAGGGGCCCCAGGCCTCGGGCCTTCAGCAGGGCCCGGTCCACCCGGCCGCTGGAGCCCTCGCCGGGGTGGACGCGGTGCGGGCTGTTACAGGGCCGGGGCATTTAAAGGAGCAGTGCACGTGGGTCTCGAAGGCGTGCGGACGCGGCATTGTGTTCCTCCCTCCTGGCTGGCACCTAATGGGCGCCCAGTTCTGCCGGCCTGTGGCACCCGGCCCTGGCAGTGCTTGGCGGGGGCAGGAGGGGAGGCGGAGGTCTTCCCGCGTACTTGAGGAACAGGACCTCAGGCCTGGGCTTGGAGACCCCAGTTTCGTTATCATTGGTATTTGGCCGTTTTATCAGGCATTTACAGCTGCGAGGAGACTTGCAGAATCTAGCTTTTGAAGCTGAAGAAAATTTTATCAATGAAGAAACTCAGCCCACAGAGCTAAAGTGACTTTGTTCAAGGTCACGCAGATCGGCTATATGAGAGCCAAGCTTAGAACCCGTTGTCCTGGACTCTAGTTCTGTTGTCCAGCCCTGGGACTAGACCTCAGCCCTTTGACAGTTGGGTGAAATGCCCCCGCCTGTGCCTTAATGAGTATTCCCTTTTTACGGTACGAACTGTGGATTGGTGCAGTACCTGCATCCTCATTTACAGACGGAGAACCTGAGAGGCATCCATCCCATCCAGAACAGTTGCAGAGCCAACTTGACCCAAAATTGACAACTTGGGTTGCCAGCCTGTCCTGAGAGTAACTGATCGGTACAGACCCCGGCTTCCGGTATGGATGCCCCTGACTTCTACATAGACCCCGTTCTGTAGACACCTGAGTCTCCAAGGACTTCAGCCAAGACCTTTGGCAGTAGTTAAAAGGCTTCGTATAAGCTGCTTCCGGTGTGTGAGCCTCAGGTTCCCCTCTGTGTGAATGTGGCCGTGTGGGACAAGGAAATGTGTTGGCAGCGGTGTTGTCTGAGCCCGGCTGGTGAAAGGGCCTCGGGTCCTGTCTCCAGCTCAGAGCTGCAGCTTCAGCCACCTGTCAGGCAGGCCATCCAGGTTTGTGCCCTGGGTGTGCGAGGGAGCATTCAGGGCAGTGGCTGGAGGTGGGGGTCTTGGTGGAATGTTGCTGTACAGGAGTGGGATGGTTGTTGTGTCAGGTTTTTAGGAAAAATTCTGTATCGTTTGGTGTTGAAGTATCTGTGCACCAAGTCTAGAGTCTGACATGTGCATGCATGGGAGGTGAATGCCCTGAGCCTGTCTATTTGAAGAAGAGGAGGACAAAGAAGAGCGTGGCCAGGGGCTGCCGCTCAGATGCGCCTGGGGGCCCGTCGCCCCTCCCCCCCAGCTCCCCTGTGGCTACTCACAGCCCCGCTGTACCCCCAGGCTTTGCCAAATGAGAGGCTCCCACCTACCTTGGCCTCTCTCTAAGTCACTGATGGTAACAATGACAATAACATAACTTAGGTTTGTCATATACAATAAAAAGCCATTTTGTACAGTGGTTGTCACAGTTGTCTTAAGAGCATCGATCACACTGAAGCAGTTCTTATTTTTAACCCTTTTACAGAAGGGGAAACTGAGGTTCAGGGAGACAAGCAGCTTGTCCTGTTGTGTGGCTTCCATGGCTGTGAGCACCAGGATTTGAACCCAGCTGGCTGTGTCTTCTTCATCTTTTGAGTTTTTGCACAGGAGGCTTCCCACACTCATGCCCTACCCATGTCACTGCACTACCGCCCAGGACATTGCTCTGTGGTCTCCATTAGCAACTACCTGGCAAAGCAAAAAAAAAAAAACAAAAATTTTTTATAAAGAAACCAAAGCAGTGTGTGTAGGTCACATTATGTTTTATTGGAGACATGTTTGGCTGTTTTTCAGCTGTTGATTTGACATTTAGACACTGTTTAGTTGGGGACTGGCAAGATAACAAATGTTTCTGCCAGTATTTCCACCTGTTCCTGGACTGCAGCAGCTGGGGGTGGGGCTGGGGGTGGAATACAAGGGCTCTGAAGCTGGCACACCCTCCACACTGCCCCTGGCCAGGGCCTGAGAGGTTCTCCGCACCTTGAGCTGGCCAGATCTGACATGGGCTTCAAGCCCTGTGTAATCAGTGTTGGCTTCTTGACCTGGAGGTGGTGAGGCTGCTGTGTTCTTACAGTCTGGGGAAAAGGAATTTCAAATTGATCCTCAGGGAGGACCAGGTGTGAGGGAGGGAGATCATTTCTGTCCAGTTTCTTCGTTGCCTGGGAGAATGGGTTGCTGATTTTCTTTGCTAAAATACAGTCTTCTGGAGCAGTGGGAAGAAAAATTAAAGGGTGCTCACTTTCTGCTGTACCTTATCTGCTGAGACATATCCTGACCTCGTCTGTGTTTTGTAGGCTACCTGCGTGACTATGGTCCTGGGCCACTGAGTATGTGACCCTCACAAGTACTTTACAGCAGCAGGGAAGAGCTCCTTGTTGGTAATTTGGAGACCTGAGCTGTAACTGTGGCTTCTGGTCATGGGCCTTAACCTTTTGTCCTTTTGTCCCTCTGGGCTTCAGTTTCCCTAAATGGGAAATGGGGTGCTGACCGGATGGGCTATAAGGTCCTTGCCAGCTCTGACATCAGTCTACGGACTTGCCCTTTTGTTTGACAAAATGTTCACATTGCCGGAGTGCCCTGGACTGGGGCTAAAGTGGAAACACCCGGGGCCTGGATGAGGCGTGACCTTGGTGCTCAACTCGTGTGTCTGGTGGTTTAGCAGATCGTAGCTTTCCAAGAGGGCCATCAACAGGCTTCTGTTATCCCTTCTCACTGAGTCCCTGCCTTTATTTCATCTTCATTATAACTACCGTTTATTGAGCTCTGTGCCAGACACTTTACACATTACCTCTAGTTTTTACAGTAATCTTGCAAAGTGTGCCTATCCTGCTTTTTACAGAAGAGGACAGGGGCCATGTGAAGTGGCCCGAGTGTGCGGGCCACTTGTCCCAGTGTGTGGTTCACATCAGTCAGCTAGCTGATTTGAACTCTGTCCGTTTCTAAGGCTCAGCTTTTGCCCACTGGCTTACTGCTTCTCATTAAAACAAACAAACAAAACCCCACAATTTTTTCTGGGCCCTACTCAACGGTGGCCACCTTCCCAGCTTCCCTCTGCCACTTCCAAACCGCCCCTTTTCCAGGCTCCTTCAGGAAATGAGAGAAAATGTTTCCTAGGAACTTCTGAGTAGGAAAGGGCAGACAGAGGTAACTCTAGAGCCTGGGTCAAGGTTTCAGGAGGCCCCATAGGGTCGCCTGGGGCCTGTGACTTGGGAGGGCGGAGTGGGACTTCAGGGCCTCCCTGTGGGACTCAGGCCCTGGCTCCGGCCGAGGCCACCTCCCTGTGCTGGGGAGAACCATCTGGCAAGTGATGTGCATCAGAGTATGGGCAGGGTGGATGGACAGATGGATGAAGGTCAGCCAGGGCCAGTACACGGTCGGGGGAGACAGGCAGGCAAGCTGTGGGAATTTCTAAGGGAATTTCCTCAGCTCAGGAAATTCTTCCTTAGTATGAGGGAAGGCTGGGAACACCCCAGGGGTCATGGGAGCTCTGTGAAGTAACCGTGTGACCATAGACAGAGGCCCATTTAAAACCAATGCCACTCTCTTTGAGGCAGCACTGAAAAATAAAATGAACAAATGTGACAAAACAGAAACAGACCAACAGAATAAACTGTGGTTACTAGTGAGGAGAAGGAAACGGGGAGGGGCAAGATAGGGGAAGGGGATTAAGGGGTGCAAACAACTATGTATAAAATAAATGATACAAGAATGTAATGTACAGCACAGGGAATATAGCCAATATTTTACAATAACGTTATATGGGATATCTATAAAACTATCAAGTCACTATGTTGTACACCTGAAACTACTGTAATATTGGAAGTCAACTATCCTTCAATGATGAAAGGAAGTGAGGGGCACTGTTCAGTTAGGCCTGCAAAAACAAGTACCCGGATCCAAGCCTTTCTCCGCTGACCACCTGTTTGTCTTAAGTGCAGTGACTCCCAATTTTCTTTTGGAGCCGAAATTTCCATCTTTTTGCATGAGGCACTTGCGTTTACTATGGCATTTAAAGATCGATTTCCTATTTAGGCCCATTGGCCTTAAACTTTAAGGTCAAAACCTTTGCATTTCTCTGAAATGAAAATCAGGTTGAGGAAATTGGGCCACCAGGGTTTCTATAATAATTGCAGGAACTGCTGACACAGCAAGGTTGGGGAAATTCTCTGGGTCACACTCCCTTGGTTTGGCTCATTCAGCATTTGGATCCCATTCAGCTGATTAATGGGAGTGAGCAGTGGCTTCTTTGGATGTTTGATTTTACATCCTAATGCACAGAGCTCTGAGCCACAGTGCTTTGTTCTGGGAAGGGTTTCCAGAATGCAGTCTTAGGCACCTGTTCCTCCCATTAGCTTCTCTGCATTTTCCCGCTGCTCCGTCAGAGAGAACGGAGAGCCGGTTGCTATGTGGTTGATAGGATTTGACATCAGCAGTAGGAGAGTCACCCAGTCCCACCAGCACGTGCCTGTGAGTCAGCCTCCCGGCAGGAGTTCTTGGCGTCACTGGTGCTCTGATGTGGAGAAACATCTAGCAAGAAGGTTGTTTATCTGCATACATTTGAGTGGTGATTTTTCCCTCCAAGGATTGCAGAGTATCATCAGTCTTCAGTTCCAACTTAGAAGCAAAAGGAAGTACATCCCAGCTGCTCTGTTCTCCTTCAGGAACCAGGTAATAAGAGGGGTTAGGAGAAGGTGTAAAAGAGGCTTCCTGAGTCCATCTGTTCCCCCCAGTCCAGGGAGAGAGGATGTGGGAGAAGGCGGGATGGAAGAAAATCTGTCTAAATGTTGATACTTGTTATTTCCCTTTAAAAACTTAATAGCTTTACAAAAAACGCCAGGCACAATCCATGTTTATTATAGAAGCTTTGAGAAATGCAGAAAAATATAAAGTATCACCCACAATCTCACTATCCAAAGATAACCACCATTAATGTTTTGTAATATTTCTTGCCAGTCCTTCATATACATGTATTTTCTAAGACAATTCAGATAATTATGTATGTCAAGTTTTATATCTATTAAATTTAACATCTTGTTTTCATATGTTAGTAAATATTCTTTTTTTTTTTTAGTAAATATTCTCTGAAGTGAGATTTTTAGTAGTCATATGTTAGATCCCATCAAATGGATATATTATCATACAGAGTCAGGCATCTTGGTCATTTTCACTTTTTAAAAAAAATTATAAATGACTGCAACAACCATGTTTTTATGTAAATCTTTTATTATTTTCTTAGGACAAATTCCAAGAAGTAGCATTTCAGGATCAAAAGGTATGAATGTTTTTAAAGCCCTCGATTTTTACTGCCTTCAGAAAGCCTGGTCCATTTGGTACCAGCGACGCTTGAGCCCCAGTTTTACCACACCCTCCTTCAAGGTGGGCATTGCTTGGGGACTTTTTCAGCCAGACCACTCTCTTCTCCCCCTGTGGCTCTCCTAGTCTGAAAAGCACCTGCTCATCTGCCTCCCCAGTGGCTCTCTGACCAGGCACAGGGTATTCAGGAGGAAGGACTGTTCGTTCTTTCACGCCCCCATTCAGCAAGCAAGTTGTACAGAGCAGTAGGTGTGCCAAGCTAGGTGAGCGAGGTGCCCTGCCCCTGAGACAGGGAGGTGAACTGTAACTGGACACTTCCAGTACCAAGTTTGGGCCCTGGCTGGGGCATCTGATTACTCAGCAGCAGCTCCAGGGAAGGTCTAACACCAGCCTAAGAATTGCCCAGGGACCATCTCAAAATGCAGATCCCTGGACCTTTGGCCAGGATGGAACTTAGGATCTGCATTTTAAATAAGCACCCTAGCGTAGCATTTAAGAGCCCAGAACCTGACCACCTAGGTCCAAGGATGACTTTGACTTTGAACCTATCACTTTTTTTTTTTTTTTGAACCTATCACTTTTTAATTCTTGTTCCCTCATCTGTGAAATGGAGAAGGATAGCAGCACCTCGTACCTGACTGTTGTGTTTAGTGCATAGTGAGTGCTCAGCAGCTGTTCTATCACCACCCCTCAGGTGGCCTGGACCACTTTGAAAAGCAGCATCTCAAGCATCTTACAGCTTTCTGAAAGTCCTAAGCCATGCCCTCAGGTGCTAGGAGCTCTGAGAGGCACCTCCACCTCTGCTCATGACCGCCAGGCCCAGAGGGCTGCGATTAGAGCCACAGCCAAGTCCAGCCCTTCCCTGCTGCAGCCCCTCTGTGCCCTGGTTTTCTGGGAGTCCTGGGCAGAGCGCAAGGAGGGAAGGAATCTTCTCAGGGAGCATTTGTTTTCTCGCGAGGAGGCCATGAATTACATGTGGTGGATGGAAAAGCGTGTTTTGTAGTTTTCTGACTTCCTGCCTCTGTGCAATGCGATGCTGCATGGAAGGGATACAGTCCTTTTTTAAGCTCACTCTCCCTGGGCGTGTCCTTCACAGACTTCGGGAGGCAGAAGTGCATTCCTGGGATTTGGTGACTGGCTGAAGAAATGGAAATTGGAAGGACTTTACTTGATCCGGGTCCCGTGCTTTTCTGTCCCCACCCGCCCCGTAGCTCCCTGTCTCCTTCCAAGAAGCATCTTCACTCCTTGTTTGTCCATTTCCCCACTAGGGGAAGAGGCAGCCAGGATGCTGCAGCTGTTGTGGTTCTGAAGGATGAGCTTGCCCTCTGCCCTGGGAGTGCAGCCCTGCCGTTTAGGTGCAGGGACTCCTGATTTGCTCCTCCAGTCGTGGTAAAGACAAATCACAGGCCCTCCAGAGGTGTGGGAAGAATAGAAGGAGTGAGATCGTAACTAAATTATTAATTCGCACCCCAAACAAATCTGACGTGCTACAGAATAAAGTATGGAAAGAGCCACTGCACTGCTCCAGTTGGAATGTCCCGGTTTAGCTTGAAGAAATGCAGCCAGCTCTGTGTGCGGGTACCCCTTTTTGAGTAAGAATAGACTCACCATTACCAGAGTGGGCAGCGAGGGCATCTCCTGGGTCCAGGCAGGGGTCTGTTTGGGATTTATCTGGCAGGGCCCAGCCTTGCAGAGGAGGAGCGCTTTGAAGTTTTCCCTTCTGGGTCCCCATTAAGTAGTTTTCTTTCGTTACCGTTACTGTAGATGAAGGAAGCTAGGAACTTCCCGAGGTCTCACAGCCTGTGGGGCTGCAAAGCCGTGTCCCCTCCAATTGGGCTCTGAGGTAGACTCTGCTGGTCCCAGGTCTGGGCGCTGAGAAGCAGATCCGCCTCCTGGGCCCTAGGCCACACTAGTCCTGGGGCCTCCCGGGAAGAGGCAGGAGGGCTCAGCTGGCCCTCTGCTCCCACAGAGCGCACTCTGGTCACATCCCTCTTCAGCACCAAAACCCTGGCTGGCCCCCTCTGCTAGCTTCACCTCCCCCTCCCCGGTCAGGCCTCCACGCCCCGCCCTGGGATGGTCTGCCTCCCACCACTGGCTCCCTGGTCCCCACCTTAGTCGTAACTGCAGTAGCACAGCGTCCTCGTCACCCCTCCTGGCAGCTGCTGTACTTTACTTCCTACTGATGTCACTACTGCTGTCACTCCTGTACTTGTCTTATCTCTGCTGAACCCTGGGGAGCTTAGCGTGTTCATTCTGAAATCCCTGTGAGAGCCACGGGGGAGCCTTTTGTGAGGGCCCGAGTCTGTGAGGTGAGCAGAGTCAGGTTCTGCCGCGGGCCTATACTTGGGGATGGAGTAGAAGTCCAGCTGGGAGTAATCCAGGCCACGGCCTGGGGCACTGTCTTCAAAAACAGCAGCAGCCTCGGACCCTGCCAAGATGAGCAGAGCTGGCTGACTCAGCAGAAGGAACCTGCCTGCTCCACTTGAAAATCATAAATTCTTGGGGGCAACTGACGTGGAGATGAACTTTGAGCTGAGAGCAGACCTGACTGTGCCGAGTGGCGTGAGGCTGCCCCAGGGTCCCAGGAGGCAGGTGACGGGGGAGCTGGCCCAGCCGCTAGCCCAGCTGACCTGCCCAGGATGTTGGTAGGGCTCTGGGCTGCCCCGGCTTCCCGGTGGTGCTGCTCTGCCCGCACCACTGCGACACAGCAGTCCCAAGGGACAGGCTCCCTCCCATATGGTCCCTACAGCCTTGTTTTTTCCTGTGGGTCCCACGCTCAGCTGTACTTCCCCAGCGCGCGCGCACGCACGCACACACGCGCACACACACACACACTCACACACACGCTCGCCTCTCGTGGTCTCGGCTCACTGCTCCCGTGGCCGTCACTTCTAAACTCATGACTCTCATCTCCACCTCAGGCCCCAGCACTCAGCTGCCTCCCAGGCATCTTCACCCTTTTAACCCATTTACATTCAGCAGATTCCTGGATCAAATTCACAGTGTTTCCCCTGAAACCTTGTTCTTCCGCTTCTCCCATCCTACTCCCTGTCTGGCCCTAGTCCTGGACTCTGTCCCATTTTGTCCCACACATCTGGTCCTGTCTGTCTACCTCCTACCCTTTCTGGATTCCCTCTCCTTACTCCCATCCATTCTTGCCACCTTAGGCCCTCTTCACCACCCACAATTGTCTCCAGGGAGGTCACCTTTCCTTCTTTTTACTCCTTTTTCAGTCAGTGGCCAGACTGATATTTCTAACCAGAGATCTAGATCTGTCACCTCTGTCCTCGGGGGACGAAGCACACCTCCTGAACTCGGCACCAGAGACCCTTCACACCTCCACAGCATCACCACCCCAACCCCGGCAGTGCTGGGCTCAGGCTGGAACATTCTTCATGCCCTCTGCCATTCCCTCCCCCCTGGGAAAATCTGTCTCCGTCAGATGACGTTATCTTCTCCAGAAAACACTCCTGATCTCTGAGTTTTAGTCCCTTCTTTGTGCTTCTGTACCTCTTGATGAACACCTGGATTATATAATTTGTCACGTTGGACGGTTGGTTTTTAATTTTTTACGACAGAAGTGTCATTGGCGCACAATAGGTGCTGAACAGATGTTTGTTGATTGAATGAGTGAGTGTGCTGGCAGTTTGGAGGGGCTCTGACATTTCTAGTTGGGGGTTTTGCCCCCTGTGGCCTGGATCTCCTCTAGCCAGTCCCTCTCGAGGTTGCTGCAGCCTCAGTAGTGGCTCCTGGAGACTGTTGCTTTATAGCAGTCCTTTGACAAGCACGTCTTGGGTGGTCATTGCGGGCTGTGCAGGTCTTAAAGCCGCCTCTCACCCTCTGCTACCTTTGCCTCGCAGGAGAGTGGAACGAGGTCCCCTGTGCTCCTTTTCCAGGCACGTTCGGAGGTAGGGTCATGCTCACATTCATGGCCTCTGACAGCGAGGAAGAAGTGTGTGACGAGCGGACGTCCCTGATGTCAGCCGAGAGCCCCATGCCGCGCTCCTGCCAGGAAGGCAGGCAGGGCCTGGAGAACGGAGAGGGTGCCGCCCAGTGGGTAGGTTCCCACCAGCAGTCCAAGGCCTCCGGACAGGTACCTGGGGTCCCAATGGACAGAAACCAGGCATTCCCTGATGTGGGAGGGAGGGGAAAGTAAAGGTGAGAATTGGCCAAAAGGGCGGGTGGTCCACCATGGTGGATCCTAGGTCTGTGAAGGCTTGATAGTAGACTCTGCACAGACACAGCCTATTACAGATCGACTCCGCAATGCACTGAGTGATTCTCTCCCTCCTGGCCCTGCCCCTTAGGTTTGCCTTCCTAGTGCAGGTTACTATTTCCACAGGAACCTGAGAGTGAGTTTGGATGCCAGGACAGGCAGCGCAGAGACGAAAGGACGGTAGGAGGAAACTGCTGGAGGGAACCTTTTTGGTAGGTGGCCAGACATGGTCACCAAGAGGTTACCTGATTCATGTTTGACTTTTGAGCTGGGGATGTGTCTTAGTTCAAGGCTGCTATCACAAAAATACCATAGACTGGGTGGCTTATAAACAACAGAAATTTATTTCTCACTGTTCTGGGGCCTGGGAAGTCAAGATCAAGGTGCCGGCAGATCTGATGTCTGGTGAGGACCCACTTCCTGGTTCATAGGCAGGTGTCTTCTCTCTGTGTCCTCACCTGGCAAAAGGGGTGAGGGAGCTCTCTCGGGCCCCTTTTTTTTTTTTTGCGGTACGCAGGCCTCTCACTGTTGTGGCCTCTCCCGTTGCGGAGCACAGGCTCCGGACGCGCAGCCTTAGCGGTCATGGCTCACGGGCCCAGCCGCTCCGCGGCACGTGGGATCTTTCCGGACCGGGGCACGAACCCGCGTCTCCTGCATCGGCAGGCGGACTCTCAACCGCTGCGCCACCAGGGAAGCCCTCGGGCCCCTTTTATAAGGCACGAATCCCATTTGTGAGGGCTCCCCCCTCGTGACCTAATCATCTCCCAAAGGCCGCACCTTCTAGCACCATCACATTGGGAGTTAGGCTTCAGCGTGTGAGTTTGGGGGACACAAACATTCAGCCCGTAGCAGGAGGGGTGGGCTGCACTGTGATTTTACCTCTGCAGCCTGCAGGGCAGGAGACTGTAACAGTATGAAGTGGAGGATATACTTGGGAGAGTCATCTAGCCAAGCCACCTCCCTCCTCATCAGGGTAAAACAACATCTGAATTTGCCTAAATTCCATTCTTCGTTTTGCCCATTATAGTAATTTTTTCTTCCAGCCAGCCTTATTTCCCTTTGCTGAAACTTGAGCTCACTTCTCCTATCCTCCTCTGGGCTCTGAGAGAGATCTCACCAGCTCAAGACCACTGCACAGCTACTCCTTAGCCCGTTTCTTGCTAGTTGCTTTGTCTTTTATCTCCTGGAGTTTTTGTGCATTTCAACTATTTCAGTTCCTGTTCATTAACAGTGTTCCTTTCTTTCTCAGATGAATATATAGATGGAATTCTCTCTGCAGAGAACTGATACCAAAGAACAGCCACTTTTGATTTTTGTTTCATTTGGCTTTGTCTTGGCTGTTAATGTAATTAACAAAGCAGCTAATGATCCTGAATTGCCACAATTCCAAAACAAATTCTTGCAGATCAGTGTGTGCCAGCGCCTGGCGTCCTGTCCTCCTTCGCTGCCTCCTCATTTATACGTAACCCAGATCCTTCCAGATGCTTGATGCCCAGTTAGCCTCTTCGCTTCGGAGCTGCAAATCTTGCATGCTTGCTTTGGGGGGCGGGGCGGGGTGCAAAAAGTTCAAAGTAATTTCTTCCTCTGCAAATTCCCAGTGTCTTATTAACAATCAGAGACAGTCCCCACGTCCCCATGTGTGCTGACCATTCTAGTTTGTGATGTTTCAACCAACAAAGTTTAATTTCTGCCCTCCTCCTATCACCTGGCCTGCCAAATTAGCGTGGCCATGTGAACAGAACTGAGTGGCATCCTGAGTCCCTATACTGAAGGAGGGGACAGATCTTTAGACATGCCCCAGACCCATTCTGCAGACCGTCCTCTTCCACAGCTAAGTGGACCGTCCTCTTCCACAGCAAAGTGCCCTCCCTTCCTGAATCTGTGGTGGTCAGCGCCAACTTAAATCTCTCATTGTCCTCATAAACTTTTCAAATGTCCTGCAATTCCACCACTCCCACATCTAAACTACAGCCCATAGACTGGTTCTTACATCTGGAAAGCAACATTCAAACTTCTCGTTTCCGGTTCCAAAACACCCATGCGCCACGTCGCTAAGGCCTCTGGGGGGGCATTCCGTGGCCCTCACAGTGTGGTTTCCCACAGAGAGGCCAGGAGAGCGAGGAGGACCATGAGGAGGACCCTGACCGCTACGTCTGCAGCGGGGTCCCCGGGCGGCCACCAGGCCTGGAGGAGGAGCTGACCCTCAAATATGGGGCAAAGCATGTGATCATGCTATTTGTGCCTGTCACGCTGTGCATGATCGTGGTGGTGGCCACCATCAAGTCCGTGCGCTTCTACACGGAGAAGAATGGACAGCTGTGAGTTGGGGGCTTGGCGGGGAGGGGGAGGGGGAGCTGGGGGAGGGGAGTACAGCCTGTGTTGGCCCCATGCCAGCAGTGAAGAGCAGGGCCGAGGAGCTGCCCGAGTCCACACCCTGGTCCGTCCACTGCCTCCTGGCTGTGTGACCTGCCTGGGTACACTGCTAACCTTTCTCGGCCTCAGTTTCCTCGTCTATATGATGGGTTTGATAGCAAGGTTACCAGGAGAATTGAGTGAGTTAATCCACATAAAGGGCTTAGAAGAGCATCTGCCACCCGCCGGGCAGAGCTCCAGCATGCTGGGTCTCACTGCAGGAGGCAAGCCCTCCGTCCCAGGTGTGGCTGTACCACCCATCACTGCGTGACCACAAGCAAGTTGCTTTCTCTCTGGGCCTCTTCATTCATATCCCCATGAGTGTAAACCAAGGAGGACCAAATGATTTCTTAGCTCACTTCCAGCCTTGCACGGGAGATTCTGTTTCTTTTAACAAAGAAAACGCAGGCAGAAGCAGCAGCCTGGGAAAATGGGAGGGCTCTCTCTGCTCCCTCCCCCAGCCTCCCTGTGGTAATTGCTGCCTAGTACCTTCTCTAAACATCTTTTTTTTTTTTTAGGGAGTTTTTGTTAAATTTTGTTTATGGTTTTTTTTAATGAAAAGAGTAGAGAAAGAAGCCCTTGCCCTCAGGAAGCTTGTAGTCTGTTGGGGGACTCAGAGCAGCTCAGGTGAAAAGCGTTAAGAGACCTTGAGCACTTCGCGGGCAGTTTGTTTCCCTACGTCCAGAGCGAGGGATCAATGAATTACCTTCTGAGTTTATTAGCTGCCTGTGCAGCTATGGGGTTACGCTGGGTGTGGGTAGGGGAAGCAGCGGGGGCGGAGGCGTCCTAGGCTCGATGGGGCTGATAAGGAAGTGGATGTAGGGAACAGCTGGGTCTCCCTGGACCAGAGCTGGGGATTGGGGTCAGCAGAGAGAAGCACTTCCAGGGGAGGGTTGAGTTGGTGTGGGGGCCAGGGGAGGCCTTGGTGAGGCCAGCCAGGCCCTTCCGTGCGGCTACATCGGCTCAGTCATAGGCCAAAGTCAGGAGCCAGGAGACGGGAAGGCAGGGCAGCTCATGGGGATGGTGGGCAGCGCTTGCCAGGGCAGCCAGAGCACGGTGCTGAGAGGCAGGGGTGCCCAGGGCACCTGCACCCCAGGTCCAGGCTCCCTCGGGGTGAGGCGTACAAGCAGGCAGGGCACAGAGACCTAGCCCTTGCCCCTCCCTCAGCATCTACACACCTTTCACCGAGGACACATCTTCGGTGGGCCAGCGCTTCCTCAACTCCGTGCTCAACACCCTCATCATGATCAGCGTCATTGTCATCATGACCATCTTCCTGGTCGTGCTCTACAAGTACCGCTGCTACAAGGTGAGTGCCAGTCCGCCTGCTTTCCTCTTGCCTGCCATGCCTCAGTGCCTCTTTGGCAGCAACCCTGGCTCTTTTTTTTTTTTTTTTTTTTTTAACAGAGTTCATTTTCCTTCTGTAAAATAGACCCTGATTTTTGGTGCAGGCGTACCTCGTTTTATCGGGCTTCACAGACACTGCGTTTTTTTCAAATTCGAGGTTTGTGGCAACCCTGCGTTGAGCAAGTCTGTTGGTGCCATTTTTGCAACAGCATTATTTTTCAGTTGATGCTGTTTTAAAAATTTTTTTAGACATAATGCTATTGCACACTTAATAGACTACAGTATAGTATAAACGTTAACTTTTACATGCAGTGGGAGACCAAAAAATTTGTGACTCACTTTCTTGGGTACTCTCTTTATCGTGGTCCGGAACCCAACCCAACCTCGCTGAGGTTTGCCTGTACTCTTTCCCACCCCACCTCTGCCCCGCCCCCATGGATTACCTAATACTCCTGTCCTTTGAATTTACACATAATCCCACTTACTTGAGTTCCTCTTTGCAGTGTTCATAGGGTTACTTCTCACGTTCAGAAGTTAATTTTATTTTGCTTCTCCTTCTGAAGAAGTGAGATGTTCTATTTTAGGCTCCTTTCACCCGATATACTTCCCCTCCAAGTTTATTTTTATTTTCCCATTTCCCTGTCGGCTGGAGAGGTACAGCTGCTGTGCCGAGGTCTTCCAACACTGGGAGACGTTCGGGCGGGCCCCCTGCTCTGCGGGGCAGTCCCAGGGAGGAACAGGGGAGTTGAGTCCCCAAATCGTCCATAGACATCCGTAAGCTTTTAGGCACGGGTTTCAGGCTTTTCTCCCAAGGAAGGCTTTGAAGCCCTGAAGACTGAACGGAAGTTGAACTAGACATTACCTGATTTAAAACCGTTCACACACAGGTGTGTGCGGCACTTCATATTAGGTTGCTGCCATCTGTTGAGCAGGTAGAGACAGATGGGGAGGCTCAGTCTAGAGGGATGAGCCCCGTCCCAGCGGGGGTGACGGTGGGGGTGAGCAGTGTGGGGGGGAGTGTCCGAGAGCTGGAGCTTCTCAGTAAATAGCTACCTGTATAAAGGCAGTTCGTAACTGGGGCAGGGATGGCCGTGGGTGGCAGGAAGCAGGGTAGAGGGCTTTGTGTTTGGAGCAGAGGATACAGCACGTGTAAGGACAAGCTAGAAGGAGCATGGCCAGTGAAAAGCCGGCACTGCTCTGGTCAGCAGGTGTCACGCGACCACTCCCAGGGACTGTTAAGAGGCAGCTCGACCCTCCGTGCAGTAAGATTTACTCCATGACGTGGGCAGGAGACAACGGTGGACTGGGCAGGCCCAGGTGGGATGAGGAGAGTCAGCACATTCCAGAGGCGGCCCCTTCCGCTCTGGGTGGAGCGCACAGCATGGCAGACAGACCAGGTGGCTGCTGAGGTCCCCAGCGGCCTGAGCTGGTGACCGATGGTTCTGTCCTCCAGGGAGGCTGGTAGCGGTGACCACCATGCCGCTGCCGGCTGCCTAAAGGACTGGTTGAGGATCAGCCCCACTCTCGCCCTTGACCCTCCCTTATTTGGCCAGGGGAGGAGGAACGTGTCTTTCTGAAGACCTGTCTCTAGGCCCTCAGGTGGGCAGTGACTCCCCGGGCTGACTCTTCTAAACAGGCTACCTCAAGAGTCTTCCCTGACCACTCTGTCTAATAAAGTAGCACCCCAGTGGGTCTCCTGTCACTTTATCCAGCCAGGTTTTTTTTCATAGCCCTATCACTTCATGCTAACATGTGTCTGTGTGTCTGTTGTCTCACGCCCTCACACTGGGTTGTAGCCAGTGGGCGCAGAGACCTTGCCAGCCTTATCTCCAGAGCGTGGAATGTGCCTGGCGTGTCCAGAAGGAGTAGAGTGCTAGGTGTTCAGACCTGAAGGAGCTCCAGCTCCTTCGTATGCTGGCTGGGTTACCTGGAGAGAACTCCTTGAACGTCTGTGCCCTCCTTATCTGTAAAATGGCCACCTTCCAACATAGTCAGGGAGGAGCCTAAGGAAGAAGGGTTTCCAGGCCTGGGCGTCAGTCCCGAGGACCGGGGCCTGCGACCATGCTGCCTGTTTCCGTCTAGTTCATCCACGGCTGGCTGATCATGTCCTCCCTGATGCTGCTGTTCCTTTTCACCTACATCTACCTTGGGTGAGTGGCAGCCGGTGGGCAACAGGGTCCTTCGAGACCCCTCCCCTGTGGTACGAGTGGGTCTGAAGGACCTGGGAGGGAAGGGCACCCCTTGGTCTCCACACCTTGCCCGTGTTGCTGCTCCAGGAGCCCGGCCTCCTCGACACGGGAGTGGAGCTGCGAGTTGGGCCACACGTCTCCTTCTGGTTCCTGATTTAAAACAAATAACGCAGAGCCATCACAGAGGGGGTTCTCTGTGAACCCCAGCGGGGGTGGGGGTGTTCGGGGGCAGAGTCCCCTCAAAATTTACATTCTGATCTTCGGGCTGGGCCTGGGTACCTCCTAGTTTATGGGGAAAGGGATCTCTCTTGCCCTGGATTTGGGACATCAGCCTGACCCAGGGGCCCAAAGAGCCTGGAGGGACAGGAGAGAACACTTTTCCAAGGGCCTTTTCCACAGGCAGAGGGTCTTCCAGGCCGTGCCGGCGCACGTTTATGGGAACCAGCCCAAGGGTGAGACGTTGGGGTACTCCCCACCGTTTCATAAATTTTTCAAGTGGTTACGTGTGGGGCTCATGGAAACAGGGAAGGAGATGTAAGCAGGTGAAGCCAGAGGTTGGAAGAACCCAGGCTGGGACTTAATGATGGAAGGGTGTTGAACTGTGTCAGGGTCTTAACATCTCCACTGAGTTTCCCAGCTCACGGGCTTGACTGTGGTCCCGCAGGGAAGTGCTCAAGACCTACAATGTGGCCATGGACTACCCCACCCTGTTCCTGACCGTCTGGAACTTCGGGGCGGTGGGCATGGTGTGCATCCACTGGAAGGGCCCCTTGGTGCTGCAGCAGGCCTACCTCATCATGATCAGCGCGCTCATGGCCTTGGTGTTCATCAAGTACCTCCCAGAGTGGTCTGCGTGGGTCATCCTGGGCGCCATCTCAGTGTATGGTAGGTGGGCCATGAGCTTGCAGGGGTGGGCCATGGAGTGACGTCCAGGGCTGAGTCCTCACTGCTGGACAAGGGTGATGGGTGTTGAGAAGTCTCCCCTCCCCCCACCCCCGCCCCGGGAGGCCTGGATGATCCCCTTTCTAGAAAGTTCACCTTTGTAAAAAAAAACAAGTGGGGTCCTGTGGAATCGTGACTGTTGACATGGTTACTAATAACAGCACTCACACCGTTAAGCACTTTGCACGCTGGAAGTCATTTGTTCCTCAGAACAACCCTGAGACTGGGCACAGTACCGATAAATAACGAGCACCCAAAACGTTAGCTGCTCTTCAGTTAGTATAGTCGTCCCTCGGTATCCTCGGCGGATTGGTACCAGAACCCCCTCAGATACCAAAACCCGAGGATGCTCAAGTGCCTTGTATAAAATGATGTATTATTTGCAGATAACCTACGCACACTTCTCGAGCACTTTAAATCATCTCTAGGTTACTTGTAATGCATAATGCAGCATAAACAATATGTAAATAACTGCCGATGTGCGGCAAATACAAGTTTTGATTTTTGGAACTTTCTGAATATATTTGATCCACAGCTGGTTGAATCCATGGATACGGAACCCAGAGATATGGAGAGCCGCCTGTATCAGTGTGATAGCCATCACCAGTACTGCTTCTTACGTTGTTAGGATAAGGAATTTGGGGCTCAGAGAAGTGGGACTTCAAGCCCATCCTCTGGCCTCTGAGGCACACAGCAGTTCCCTGTTTGCAGCTAGCCTGTTTGGACACCGCTCAGACCCCACTGTGGGCTCCAGCCAGTGCAGGCTCTAGGGATCGTGGCTGAAACCCGGGGGTGGGATTGCTGGAGCAGCAGGGTGTGGTCTGAGAGCCTCGGCCTGGGGCTCTGGGACACGCTCCGACGCCTGGTGTTTAGGGGGCTGGTTCCTCTCTGGGGGCTGCTTGGGAATAAACATGTTTCTTAACATGCCAAGGGCGTCTTTGCTTTCCCAGATCTCGTGGCTGTGCTGTGCCCCAAAGGGCCGCTGAGAATGCTGGTAGAAACTGCCCAGGAGAGAAACGAGCCCATATTTCCTGCCCTGATATATTCATGTGAGTATATGATACATACATGGCTTTCGGAGGTGATGAGGAGATAGTTAACCGTTTCCCTGACGAAAGGAGACGAGGCAGCCTCGGTGACCCCAGGAGGGCTCCACCTTCCGAGACGAAGGTGGGCTGTGTCTTGCTCTTAGACAGGAAGAAACCTGGAAAGTCAGAGCAGGAAGAGGGCACCAGGGGATGTGGTCCTGCCCCGCAGCTTCCTCCCACCTGGCTCCAGTGGCACGTGGTGGCTACAGGCTGCGTTCCCATGAGCCCAAGGCCACCGACTCAGCCCTCCAGGCCCCTGATAAGGGACTTTGGAGAGGGACTCTTTAGGGTGGGGGTCTGGGGGGGAAGGGTGCACCTACCTTTCCCTGGGCTACCTCAACAGCTTCGTGGATGGTTGAAGTGAAGTCTGTGAAGGGAATGCCCTCGGGGTTGCTGCTGGCCTCAGGGCCAGTACACTCGGGGATTTGTACTTATAAAGGCATCAACAGACATGCATCAAATTCATACTTTGTGGTGGGCGCTGTGCTGGGCATTGCGGTTGCCATGGAAACAAGATCCACAAGGTCCCAGGCCTCAGGGAGCTCACTGCGCTGTGGTTTTTATGCCCTCCCCTCTGTTACTCAAGTAGAGAGCCTGAATTTCTGGGGCTCAGTTGTCTGCAGGGCGCACTGGGAAACAGCCTATGAATGGCTAGAGTTGGCACTCTATACAAATGAAGAACTGAGCTTGTCGTGGAGAGCCGTTGGCGGCCTGGCCCCAGGGTGAGAAAGCACATTCCAGGCACAGCCTAAAAAATGAGCAGAGACTGTGTATGGAAAGACTGAGCCGTGTCAGACTTCCGCTCACCGTCGTTGTGCTCTGATGGAGCTTACATTCTAGGATGGGAGGCAGACAGGGACCCAACAGGCAAACGTAAGTCAGGAGGTGAGAGCTCCATAGAAAGATAAAGTGGGGTGTGGGGGGGAGCGTGAAGGACTCCAGGGCAGTGAGGGGTGCTATTTTACAGAAGGTGGTCAGGGAGGCCCTGTGTCATAGGTGACATTTGACCAGAGACCCACCTTAGGAATATCTGGTGACAGAACTCCAGGCAGAAGGAACAGTGGTAAGTGCAAAGGCCCTGAGGTGGGCGTGGGCCTGGTGTGCTCGGAGCGCCCCGAGGCCAGGCAGAGGGAGCCAGCGGGGAGCGGGGGAGGTCAGATCCTCTTAGGCCATGGTGGGGACTTGGCTTTTATTGCTGAGTGAGATGTGATGCCACTGGAAGACTGTGGACTGACCTGACTACGTTTTAACAGGACCACGAAGGTTGTATCAGGGACAAGGGTAGAAGCAGGAGCCAGGTTTGGAGGCTGAATAATAATCCGGGAGAGAGATGTTGGCGTTTGGCCCCAAGGCAGCAGTAGAGGCGTTGAGATGTGCTTGGACTCTACAGACATCTTGGAGGCAGAATTGGCGAGATTTTCTGATGGTTGGGGTGCAGGTTGTAAGAAAGAGAGTCAAGGTTACTGTCAGTTTTTTGGGCCTGAGCAACAAAAAGGATGGAGTTGCTGCTTACTGAGAAGGAGAAGGCCGGTGGGCGGGTCGGAGGGCAGTTGTTGAGAGCGTTCAGGGCATGTTGAGTCTGAGATGCTCACTGGACATTCAGATGGAGAGTTGGAGAGATGGGATAAGAGTTCAGGAGAGAGTTTCTAGGCCAGAGAGAGAGAACATGTTAGTACCACAGGATCCAGCAGTCCTGCTTCTGGACATAGACCCAAGAGGATTGAAAGCAGGATCGTGAACAGACTTTTGTGCACCCATGCTCATAGCAGCACTATTCACAATATCCAAGAGATGCAAGCAACTCAGGTGTCTGTGGATGGATGAAGAGATAAACAAAATGTGGTATATACAGAGAATGGATTATTATTCAGCCTGAAAAAGGAAGGAGGTTCTGACACGTGCTCCAACGTGGATGAACCTTGAGGACATTATGCTAAGTGAAATAATCCAGTCACAGAAAGATAAATACTGTATGAGTCCCCTTATACGAGGTATCTTAGGTAGTCAAAATCATAGAAACAGAAAGTGGAATGGTGCTTGCCAGGGGCTGGGGGATTGGGAGTGGGTACAACGTTTCAGTTCTGCGGGACAAAAAAAGTTCTGGAGATCTCTTTCACGGCAGTGTGAGTATACTTAACACTATTAAACTGTACCCTTAAAGATGGTCAAGATGACATATTTCATGTTACATGTTTTTTTTTTACCACAATAAAACAAAAACATAATTAGTTCACCAAACTTGTTCACTAACAACATTATCATTGTTTTTGTGAGGAGGCCAAAAAAGACAGGAAGAAGCATCGTCTGCCCATACCTGGTCAGTGAGTCTGGACCCCCAGCGGCCCCCTAACAGTGGGGCATAAGCAAATACCCACAGGAACTGAGGGTCCTGTGCAGGCTTTCTGGGGACACAGACTGGCCCGCCTGCCTCCCAGGCCCTGGGGGCAGCCACAGGTAGTACTGCCTGAGGCCTGACCCTTCTCTCCCTCCCCAGCTGCCATGGTGTGGACAGTGGGCATGGCCAAGTTGGACCCCTCCTCTCAGGGAGCCCTTCAGCTCCCCTACGACCCAGAGATGGGTGAGTATCGGGGGCTGACAGCCTCTCATCATCGGGGGTGGCTTTTCACCACATCCAGCTCAGCCTGGCCTGGCCCCTGCGGGAGGCACGAGGGCTGGAGGGGCAGGTGGGAAGACCAGCCCCCCCGGACACGCACGCCCTGGGGATCGAGTGCGGTGGGACCGCGCTCCTCTGCCTCGGCCCCGTTCCTCTCCCTTCCCTTCCCTTGTGTGTGGACTGGAGAATCCTCTTTGGGTCGGGCAGGGTGTGGGGGGGTAGGGGGATGGTAAGGGAAGGGGAGCCCTGAGCTCAGAGAACCATCTGATGGGCTGTTGTCTCTCTCCCTTGCTCCCTGCTCACACGACACCGGACACCCAGAAGAGGACTCCTGTGACAGTTTGGGGGAGCCCTCGTACCCTGAAGTCTTTGCGCCCCCCCTGCCTGGCTACCCGGGGGAGGAGCTGGAGGAGGAGGAGGAAAGTAAGGTGTCCCGACCGTCTGCGTGGGCCCGGGTGGGGCCCCCTGAGGTCAGGGGAGGAGGGCGCGAGGGGAGGAGCCCCTTCCACATCAGAGACGGCTTCGCAAAGTCGAGGAGGAGCCTGCAAAGGCGCAGCCTTGTCGACAGGCCGCGGGGACTTCTACGCCCAGGCTGCACCTCGTGTGTGGCAGACATTGGTTGAGTACCAGCTGCGTGCCCGCTCTGCGCTGGGGGGCGGTCATACGGATGCAGCTCTGGGGGACGCAGCTACGCAGGCGTGGGCACTGACCGCCCTCCCCAGAGCCGGAGGACCGTGAAGGAGAACACGGGGTGATGGGGAGCGCTGACGGGGCTCATGACCTGTTTCAAGGGGTCCGAGGAAGTCGCCTGAGGAAGTAACTTCTGAGCTGAGCTCCAGAGGCTGAGCCACTGGAACTCGGAGAGGGGGACGCACAGCGGGGGTGCGTTTCCAGCTGAGGGGACCTTGGGAGCAGAGACCCTGAGGCAGACGGCACGGTGAGTTAGAGCCAGTGAAGGCAGGACGCTGAGACCCGAGTGCAGAGATGGGGCAGGGAGGCAGGCAGGGACTTGAGGGGCCTTCTGGATCAAAACGGGGATCTGGTCTGTGTCCCGTGAGCGGTGGGAGCCGTGGGGGGTGGGGGAGGGTTTTGAGCTGCACGGGAGGAGGGACATGAGGGAGAAGGGCAGGCTTGTGGCCGGCAAAGTGTGCACCTGCGTGGCCTGAGGACGTCCCCGTGCAGCCATGGGGGACGCAGGCGTGGGCTCTGGGCTCAGAGGGCCGGCTGGGCTGGGCAGGTCAGCGCCAACAGCACGGCTCCATGATGGGACTGACAGTGGAGCTGGGGTGGAGACTCCCCCAGGCAGAGCCCCGGGTGTTTGGGGGCAGAAGGAGCTGGTGTGGAAGGCCGTCCTGAAGACGCACCCAAAGACGTTCTAACATATGGCTGTGTTCCCAAGGGGATTAAAATAGCCATTCCATCAGCACACGTTTATGGACCACCTACTATGTGCCGGGTGGCACATGGGAACAGGGAGGTGCTGCAGGATTAAAACAGCCTCTGCCCTTGAGAAGTTCCCTGTGGGAGCAGCCCAGGCGGGGGGAGGTGAGGTATAAAGTACTCAGGGCAGACCTGGGGAAGAAGATAATGCCGAGGTGGGCCTGGAAGGACAAGTCGGTCACCCGGCAGACAGGCTGCCAGGCTGCAGCCCAGGCCTGGCACTGAGCCCCTGGAGTCAGCACGGATCCCACCGGGGCACAGTCCACAAGGCCACCCTCGCTTCACACGCCAGCCACAAGTCCTGGGGGTCTCCAGGCCACCCGCACTTCTGACCGACTGGCTACGGATCTGGGGGTTCCCACACACACCCCCCCCCGGTTGGAAAATTTGCTAGAACGACTCACAGAACTCAGGAAAGTACTAAACTTACAATTACAGTTTTAGTATAAAGGATACAAATCAGGACCAGCCAAATGAAGAGCCACATTGCTCGCAGGACTGGACTTCATCTCCAGGCTCCCTCTTCTCCCCAGAGGTTGGTCTGGCCCAGAGTCCCAACCCCCTTATCACATAACCACGTGGTCTTTCTGGAGACCAGTGCCATCCTGATCCTCTCATTTGCATAAATGATCCAAGGGGCTCCTGAATAACAAAGACACTTCTGTTACTGGGGAAACTCCAAGGATTTGGTCTCCCTCCTGGAACCAGGGACAAAGGCCAGTTAGATTCTTTGTTACACAGCAGCATTGGCAAAGGCTCAGATGAGAGAGGAGGAGGCCTTCCGGGAGCTCGGGGCAGTTTGGTGGCCCAGGCAGCTGGGGGCCGGACCTTCAAGGGTGCACAGCACTCACGGGAGCTCGAACTTCATGTTGCAGGCTGTGGGGAACCGCTAGTGGTTTGTTGCAGGGAATTGAAGTGAGCAGAGCTGCATCCCAGACAGATCCCGGGCAGCAGCAAGGAACACAGACTGCTGGGGGACAACCTGAGGGAAGAGCCATGAGGGCCCAACTCAGGCAGCAGGCTGAGAGGAGGTGGTGCCACCACATACCTGGGACGCACTGGCAGGACTTGGCTGGGCAAGGGATGGGCAGGGAGGCGTGGAGGGTGACGGGGGAAGGTGGGAGGCTCTGCAGGACGTCAGATGGAGACGCCACGGACACACGAAGGGGAGCGATGCTCAGGAACGTCAGGGTTGGAGACCCGAGTTGGAGTCACCAGGATATACATGTTGTCAGAACTGCGGGTCCCCAGAAGGTACCCAGGGAAGGTGTAGGGTCAGAATGGAGAGCGAGGGAGACAGCGTGGGCGACATTTACGGGATGAAGGGAAGGGCGCTTGTGGAGGACCCCGGGGAGTGCCAGCCAGGGGACAGGGCGCTGAGACAGACAAGTAGCTTGAGGGTGTCCACGGGGGCCGGGCGGTGGCCTGGCCAGAGCACGTTGGCTGGGGGACGTGGGACCTGCCGCCAGAGATCTCTGAAGTGCCTGGGAAGTGAGTGCGGTTCCTTTGAGAAAGAACTGATTGAAAAAGAAGAGAGAAGGGAAGGGAGAGGGCAGGCAGAGCAGGGAAGCAGGAGTGGGGGTAGCTGCGAGAGGAGGCACGGCAAGAGAAGTCACCTCTGTGAGGTGACGAAACTGGAGTGTTTGCTCTGTGCCGAGGCAGGAGCCAAAGTGAGGAAACTGAAGTCAGAGAAGAGGGGCCGTGGAGGAAGGGACAGACCGAGGTGAGGGGCATCTTGCTTGGAGCCCAGAAGGGAGGCGAGGGGGGCGGACAGGGCAGAGCATGTTTCCTTGATGCAGACCTCCTCAATTCAAGTCTGTTTCTTAAACATTTTTATTGTCTGTGATGAATAAAATTATCCTATAAACAAGCGTACAGGGCAGTTGTACGAAAGGAAACAAATGAAAGCATTCTAGAAGCTCTTGTTTCCTTATCAGTAATGGATACACTAGTTACAAATTATGTTTACTTATTTTTTTAATTGAAGTTTAGTTGATTTACAATGTACATTTACGTATTTTTAAGGGACATGAGTCTCCAGAGAACCTCAGGTATTGTACATGTTCTTGAAAGTAGTGAAATTAAATTTCCTAAAAAGCATTTATAATTCAAACTGAGCGCTCAGTTGGGTAGCTTCCCATCAGCCCCAGGCAATGCATTTTATTCACTCTTGTCTTAACCAAGTGCCAAGCACCAGTTTGTTTGTTTTTTGGGTTTTTTTGCAGTACGCGGGCCTCTCACTGCTGTGGCCTCTCCCGTTGCGGAGCACAGGCTCCGGACGCGCAGGCTTAGCGGCCATGGCTCACGGGCCCAGCCGCTCTGCGGCATGTGGGATCTTCCTGGACCGGGGCACGAACTCGTGTACCCTGCATCGGCAGGTGGACTCTCAACCACTGCGCCACCAGGGAAGCCCGCCAAGCAGCAGTTTTACTTGAGTTATCAGAAATGCTGGCTTTGCACAGCCCAGAATGCAAGTCACTCAGACTACAGGTTCCCCCTTTTTCCCACTGGCTGCTGTTTTTTCAAGGCAGCCAGTCCTTGTCCCAGAGTCCAGGTGAGATGAGCTGGGCAGTCACACTACCCCATCTGCCCTCTGCGTTCCTCAGGACTCTGGCCCCTGGGCTGGGCAGAGAACCTGGGCTGTTTGGCTAGGGTCAGCCTTCTCTGCCGCTTCCTCCTGGGGCTTCCGAGACCTATGGGTTCCCTCTGTCTCCACCACACAGGGGGTGTGAAGCTCGGCCTCGGAGACTTCATCTTCTACAGCGTGCTGGTGGGCAAGGCGGCAGCCACGGGCAGTGGGGACTGGAACACCACGCTGGCCTGCTTTGTGGCCATCCTCATCGTGAGTGGGCTGGGGGATGCTCCCTGCCCAGCCCTGGGCAGTGGGGCCCCTGAGGGTCTGTCTGGTGGGGGGCCCAGGAACCCAGGGGAATTTTCAGGTGCTGTTATCCCTTGGAGGGGCTAGGCAGGGTTGCCAAGAAGATCCTCAAGATGAGACCGAGGTTTACAGGAGGCTCTGGTCATCAACAGATGCAGGCACAGCACAGGGGAGGAGTGACCAGGGGCTCTGACATTACTGAGCTTGTGCACCGGGTGCCGAGGTCTTGGCTAGCTCTGTGCATTTGTCTCACGGCACCTGCGAGGCAGGGATGGTGACCTGAGATTTACAGAAGACGGAATTGGTTGAGGGCCTGGCCCGTGGGCACAAAGCTGTGAGGGCCGAGCTATGATTTGAATTCGAGTCTCTGAAGCCAGGGCTGTGTGTTTTCCCTCCATGCCACCCAGGCACCATGGGGTTCTGAAGCCCCATGGGATCTCCTGGGACTCGAGACGGGGGCCCATCACTTTGAACCCCAGCAGTGAAATTTGGAGACCTGTACGTCACTTAACATGGTCAGATACACATGGTGGGGAAGCGTCTTATGGTGATTGGAGAGGTGGAGGCTCTGAACGGTGCATACTCGGCGTTCTGCCTGGTGAACCCCGGGTGGCACGTGGCACGTTAGGGCTGAGGCTCCAGTTCTGCAGACATTCTGTATTTGCCCAGTGTGTGTCAGGCATGGGGTAGTGAACTCCCAGGCTCCTCCACTTCCAGATTGTCTGCCCTGAATTCCTGCTCTCCCCAGGGATAGGGCAGGCACTCTGGTGTCCTGTCCCCACCCTGGACCACTGCCTGCATTGACTGGGCTGGGAACAGGATAGGCAGCCACTGTGCCTGCTCCCCAGGGCGGGGTCACGTGACGTCTTGGTTCCCTCGGTGTCAGCTGCTGAGAACATTGCTGGCTTTCAGTCCAGCCCGTCCAGTTCTTGTATAAATACACGTCCCCTTGGGGAAAGCTCCTCACCGTCAGGTCACGCCTCCCTCCAGCAGCCAGCCAGGGGAGGTAGTCTGGTAGTGGCAGCCCCGTTCTAGGGGTCAGGAGGCCTGCTTTCTGGTTCACCCGTCCATGTGCAGGGCGTTGCTACGGGGTGAGAACTCCTGCCCTCAGGCACCTCACAGAGCTGTTGAGGGGACCAGGGAAGATGACGGGGTGTCCAGGGCTCCTGAACCCAGGGACTGTACCATCACTGACTGCTCTCCGTCCCCCGTCCATACCCGTGGCCACCACCAACCCCCTCGCCTTTGTGTCCTGCAGGGTTTGTGTCTGACCCTCCTGCTGCTCGCCGTGTTCAAGAAAGCGTTGCCCGCCCTCCCCATCTCCATCACGTTCGGGCTAATCTTCTACTTCTCCACAGACAACCTGGTACGGCCTTTCATGGACACCCTGGCCTCCCATCAGCTCTACATCTGAGGGGAAGCCTGGGCACCGTGGCCTGGAAGCTGGAAGAAACGGTAACTGGATGCAGTTGTACAGTTGTACACTCTAGTGCCATATATTTTTAAGACTTTTCTTTCCTTAAAAAAAAAAAAAAGAGAGAGAGAATAAAAAAGTGTTGTGTTGACTTTGTGAAGAGGAAGGACCAGCTTTTTGGTGCTGGTTGTTTTGTCACCAGGCCGTGGCTCACCCCTTCGTGAGCATTTGCTTCACCAACAGGAGACGTGGGAAATCGGTCCAGAGGAGCTGAGGAAGGTTCTGAGATGTGGGAGGGGCTTGGGGAAGGCCCCTGCTCTCGCCCCACAGCCTGGAGTCCTCTGAGGGCCTAGCCGGAGGACGGGGCGCGTATATTCGGGACCGGGAGGTCACGCCTGGGACGGCATGTGGCGCCTGATCACTCTGGCCGGAGAGGAGAAGCCAATTTTCTCTGCAAGGAATGTTCCCAACGCTTTGTCTATGATGCTGTCATCATTTTATTACCTTTAGGTCCTTGTTAAAAGCAGTTACTGCTGGGAAGTGTCTTAATATCAATAAATAGACGACTCCTGTTGCAGTGTTGGGGTTTGGTCTGCTCATCAGTGTGGGCCCCTCTCCCGGCATCCTGGGATAACGTGCTCTGGCCGCAAAAGGGAAGAGATTTGCCTAGTTGTGAGGAGAGAGGCTTAACTGCCCCCATCTCTGCGATCGTTTCTTTAACTAGGTTTCCTAAGCAGAGGCGCTCCCAGACTCCCGAGGCCCACTGTCTGACAGCTGGGCGGGTGCCCGGCTGGCTGTCTTCAGAAACACTGCAAGGCTTTCGCCAAAACACAGAGCGAGAGAGCAGGGCTGGTCCCCAACAGAAGCAGCCCAGCGGGGGCCAGGTGGGAGCCCAGGAGCCTGCTCTCCTTTCCTTCTATGGCCATGTCTCTGGGCACTGCAGGGGGTGGGAGGTGGGCAGATGGGTTTTTCCTTTGTTTCTCTACATGTTTCGCGGGCTGCAAAGAGAACCTCAGCCTCCAGACCGGAATTTGAGCCCCTTGAGGCCTTGCAGAGCAGGCCGCTGGGCCCGCAGGGAGCGCGGCTGTCAGACACCCGAGAAACGCAGGAGCCGCGGAGCCGGCTGGGTATCACAAGGAGATGAAAAAATCGTGTACTTTGGTGTCTGACTTAGCTTCCTTTTCCCCTGGGCTGTTTGTAGAAGAGCCGAGGGAGGCAGGCGTGGAAGCCGGGAGGCCAGCGTGCTTGGCCTGGGGGTGGCAGTTCAATCCGGACAGCTGTCACTGGCTTGTGACTGACTCGCAGGTGACACCCAAGGTGGCGGCATCACAGCCTCGAAAGCCGAAGGTAGGGAGAATTTTAAGACGATGAGAGCTAGGCCGTGATAGTAAAAACTCCCTGGAGATTAAAGGGGAAGAAAAACTGGGAAAAACTCATTCAGTTTGGCAAGTAGGGCAACGTTTATCTTTGAAAGAGGGGTCTCAGGATGGGGCTTCCAAAGAGGAGATCTGACAAGTGTTTTGACTTGTTAGGCTTAAAAGGCCTTTGTCAAAGGCCTGACCAGGGTGTTGGGGGTGGAGCCTCACTTAGAGGTAAAAGCAGAAGGTAGAGATGGACAGTGAGGGGAGGAGAGGTGAACGGTGCCCTGATTAGGTGTTAAGATTAATATGAAGACTGGGAAGGAACAAATGTGAGAAGGCAAAAGGGCAAGAACCACTGGTGAGAAAACAAAGATGCCTGAGGAGACTCTGCAGGCGGAAGCGTGGTCCCTGAGTCGCTGGGGGACTGGGGAACCCAGAACCCAAGTGGAGGAGAGGAAAAAAGAGGATGAAAAAAGGTAATTCAGGCATGCTGAGAAGGACAGAGAAGTGGTATGCAAACACCTCTGTCCCCCACCTTGTAACCAATCAATTAATCTTAGTATTTTTTCCATATTCCCTCCAGATTTGTCTGTACAAATAAAACCTTACAGTTCTGCAGTGCTATTTGTACGGTGCCCCAATTGTATTTACTCCCTTCCACTGTCCTGAAGTCAGCTTGTGTCCTTCCCATCCACGTTTACTTTAGTTTTGCACGTTGGCATGTTTTCTTAAACTTTATAGAAATGGTATCATACTGTACATACTTGACATTTTAAAAAATTTTAATATTACATTCCAAGACACCCGTGTATGTAGATGAAGCTCTGGTCCTTTGTCTTAACTATTTAGTATTGCATTGTGTGATATTCCACTGTTTACGTGTGATGTTATTGATGGACACTCCAGGTTTTTGCAGGGTTTCTGTATTAGAACTACTGCAGTGAGCATCCTGTTTTGTGAATTTGGGTGCGTACCAGCAGTCCTCTCACTGACTGGATGTTCCCACGTGCTTCCCAAGCACTTGAATCCCTTGATCCTCCCATCAGCCATCTGAGAGTTCCCCCTTTTCCCTAGCTCTGCCAACACTTGGCATTATCAATTTTTTCACTTTTGCTAATTGGGTAGGTGTTACCTCCTGAGGTTTGAGTTTGCAATGAAGTTAAGCATCTTCTCACGTTTTGGCTGTGTGGATTCCCCCACCTTTTTTTTTTTTCCTGC